ATATACTTGCAATATTAGACAAGTGTTGCTTCAATACATGTTTAGCCTTGTGCAGATCATTCACCTAAAAGTAAAAATTATCTCAAGTCTAATCCAAAGAAATTTGTTGACTCTCAGTATGATTTAAAAGGTCTGTTTAAAATTTGGCATCTTGGTGTTCTGTTCTTTACACCTCTCAGTAGTGAGCTACTCCTGCTCCTCCAAAACAATTTGCTATGCTTTTTCTTTGGGGAAGAAAAGGTAGGAAAAAGTTCTAAACACATTGTACTGGGGTATGGTTTCCACAAAGCTTTTCAGCCAGCAGTTGCTGAAATGGTTTTATTCAGCACTCTAATAGCATGTGGCTGGATTAGATGAATCTTGAGATGGAAAGCTTAATCATACATTTTTTTACTCCTTTGATAATCAAGTAAGAGACATTTGGTGTGCGAATGCTCAGGTTTCAGTGGAGAAAAATCTCTCCAGACTTCACAGCTGAACACCAGCAAATGTGTGTTTGTGTCAGAAAAGCTTCTTTATTCACTCAAAACAGAAAAAAAGGACTTTTAGTTATTTTTCTTATTTACTTAGTTCTTTCTGATGACTCGGAAAAAAATAGTACCTTTTACCCAATTTAGTAGTTTCTAGATTTGAGAAAAACAGTATAATAAACTTGGTTTGGCCAAGTTGAGTAATGACAGTGTCCTCATACCCACTATGTTGGGTGGATGCTGCTATGTTGTTTTATGGTCAGGCAACTGATTATTACATAAAATATTAGTCACATTGAGGTGAAAGGTATTTTTATTAGTTTTTGTTGTTATTGATATTTCTTTTGAATATTTGTATAAGTGCTGTAGGTTTTCCCTTCTTTTATGAATGGGGGAAGTGGAACAGTTTTTGAATCCTTTGTCTAATTTAACTATCTAAATTGTATTCTTAAAGTAATAGTAAATTCAACAATTTCAAGTATGTATGTCTTAAATCAGCCTTCTGAATAAATGTTTTTCAGAAACTTAATAATTATAAAATTGCTAACATGATGCCTTATGCCTTATGATGAATTCTCTGCATCTCCACTTACTTTATTAACTTTGCAACAAGTAGGGCCCTCTCAATTACATCAGTTAGAGTCTATTTGCACTTGCTCTGTGACAATTTTGCAATCCTCTGCTGTAATTAACTTCTGGTAAGAGAATATGGAATCATCATTTACAGAATTCCTGTTGAAGGTGCTCTGTAAGCTACAGATGGCTGCCTGGTCATTGAAGTGGGTGAAATAATGGAGCTGGGACTTCAGAGTAGCAGCCTGTCAAGAGGAACTGATGGCAAGGGCCCTTACTGAGAGCAGGAGTGACAGACTGGAAGGAAGAGGATGTTGGTTGTGGGTTGGAGCTTGAGGAGAGTGTACCTACCAAATATAAACATTAGAGATCAGGTATTTGAAGGTGAAAAAGACATTTTTCATCTTGGACTACAGGCAGTCTTTAAGAACAGCATAGAAATTAAATGAGACAATAGATAGAATTATTTTGTAAATAATTTTCTCATATTAGATTACTTTCTAAATATCTTAGCAGATTATTAATGAAATTAATCTGTCATGAATTATTGGTTGATTCAGCAAACTGCTTATAACTCATGCAGTTTCTCATACTGACTATTGGTCCTTGGAAAGAAGGGAGGCCACCTAATACCTGTTCTCCTTACGTAAATGATTTTTTTAATGAGTACTTTTATGGTTTTAAAATGAAAGATGGCTTTTGTCAGCAGTTAGAACTCAATTGCTAGAACTGTTTCAGACCTGAAGAAGTAGTTGTATGTCAAACATTTTTCCCCCCACTCCATACTGTTAGTCTAATAAAGTACACTGCATCTCCATGTAAGTCTCTTATCACGTGAATGTAATGGTTAAAGTCAGAGATAAGAAGCTGGCAAATACTGATGTAACCATTGTTATTGAATTTATCTTTGTAGATGTAAGGTAAAAGCAACTGTCTTTTACATTTGCTGGCTTGTGTTCTAAAGCATTTCACAATCATAAAACAAATGTATCAGAAGATATATATATATATATTTATGTCTAGAAACATCCATTAAATGTCACTATCTAGTTGTCTTTGAGATTTAACTTGTACTTCAAATCAGGGAAGTCTAGGCAGTGGAAATAATACTTATTGCAGGACATAGGATTAAATGGCAATCATTAACCTACTTGGAAAGCAGGTGCTTACAATCCAACCCTCCTGCTCAAGCTGTTTAACAGATATTTTTTGATTTGGGGTTTTTTGTTTGTTTGCTCATTTGGTTTTGAGTTTTTTTACAAGTATAAGCAAATTTGCTGTATTTTTGATGCTTTAAAATTATTAATGGGAAATTCTGAGAAGCAATTTGATGGTGAATATAATCTAGAGTATGTGTACAGATTTTTCCTCTTTACTCTGTGGGGTATTCATGTTTTAATTTCCTGTGTAGGAAAATTAAGCAGGGATAGCACACAATGCATTCTATTTAATTCAGATATTCAAAGACTATAAAGTAATGAACTACTGAGATTATTTTGTCTGATGACATGAGTAAGACAGACTTTGAGAACTAGCAGAACGCACATGGCTGGTTTTAAGCTGAGTGATGTTGACTGTGATATTAGTTTTTGATGAGTTATGCTTTGTAAGATTTAGTTCTCCTTTCCATTACTTATTAGTATATCTCTAGCTGGTATTTCTGAGACCACCTGATTGTCTAGATAAGTCTGTTCAGAACTGCTGCTTAGCAAGGTGCTCCTCCCATGATATAAGGCTCCTTGTTTCTGGTGGCCTTCATTTTGACAGTGTAGAAGCACACATTACAAGTGTGCATCCTGCTATCTGGGATTGTTAAGTGCCAGGGACTTGGCACTGACAGGCCTGTGAGTTATCTGTCAGAAAAGGGAAAATTTGGATTTGTTTCATTTTTTTTTCATGAATTGCATACCAAACTATGGATATACAGCTCTAATTTCCACTGTATCTTCCATTTTCTCTAATCTCAATTGTTGGCGATTTTCCATGTGCCTTAGTTGGAAACAGCTTGATTCCATGCACATTCTGATTTTTGCAAAAGGTACCAATTCAGGAAAATGTTTAAAATCACACTTACCTCTTGTGCACCTTGAAAGTTAGGAGGAATATAGCCACCAATGCATTGGCTATGTTTGAGCTCAGGAACCCTGACAGATTTTATCTCTCAAACAGTATTTAACCCTATCAGACATTATAAAAGAAAAAACTCCCTTGTATATAATGACATATAGTATTTTGAAGAATAGCAAGGGTGATTAGGCATCTTTACTTGCAGCTTTCACAGCTGAATTTGGACTTGTTCAATAATCATATAAGATACATTTTAAAACGTTTTCTTCTACTGCTTGTTGGCTTCAGGGATGTTTAGCGAATATTCTATATATATACTTTTGAAATAATGCTAGAAAAAAAAATTTGCTTTGTAATGTATTCACATGAATTTGCTGTGACTGTACCTCCCTGTGGCCTGTTGCAGGACATTTTCCTATCTTGTAGGAAAAACAGCATTAGGGTTTTCATTTCAAAGCAAACCTTTAGATACCTTCTGATCTGATTAATCAGTTAATGTCTCTTTAAAACACATTTTTCCTCTGTGGTGCCTTTGAGGTATATTTTAATGAAAACTGTCTGGCTTGAAAGTTCTTAGCTACCATGATAGCTTCAAAAAATGGGAAAGGCATCATTTATCTTTCAGGTAATATAAATAGTGTAAAATATAATTTAATGTAATTTAAAAGTGAGTGAACAGAAGTTCTTTGGGATTCTTGAATAAAGTTCTGAACAATGGAAAAATGAAGGTTTTCAGCAGATTCAAAAATAATTTGAAATTTAGGTTGAATATCCCATCATTGTGAGAAACTTGTATTTTACAGAAGTGCGGTTGTTTTTATAAGTTTTATTCTATTATAAATTTCCCTTTGCTTTGCATCATAGGCATTTTGGGGCTGGGAGGTGGTGGCCTTTAATTTTATGGTAAAGGTTTAAGGTACAATTGCTCAAGTAATTTGAAGCTGTTTAGACACTACAGACCTACTCAGACTAACTTGAAGACTTCTTTCTTTTCCTCCTATTTTTTGGAGCAGTGAAGAGTAGGGAAATTCTGAGTTATGGATGATCTTTGAGTATGTAGCTTTATTTGACAGCATCCTTTTTATTAGAAGGATGCAGAGATGGGAATGTCTTTTGGGAACTTCACAGCAATATGATCTGATTCTTCATTTCTCAGTCATTAGGTAATTTTTTCTTTCAATTAGATATATTTGTGATCTGAATAATGATGATTCATTGTTATAGTATTTTATTTGAAGTTGGAAAGAGTGCTTAAAAGGTTAATATTTAACTATGACAGAAAATACTCACATCTTTTTGTTTGAAATACCTTTCTTTGTTTTGTTGGGATTTTTTACTGTGTACCATGCATTTAGGGCTCATGTTTCTTTCCTTCCTTACCCTGAAGAGAGCCTTAGGTCTAGAGCAGGCTTTACCTGTCTGATGAACCATAGTTTGATGTCTGAAATTAGGTGGGATAAGAATAAGTGCAAGTGTTTCCCTACCTTAACACAGAGTTGTTGATGTCATACAAGAATGACCTATGAAAGCAAAAATGTCCTTTATTTGTCACAAGAGTGACAAACTAGAAGTGAGTCTTATAGTAAAGAGAAGGACAAGAAGGAGAAAAGGTATAAAATAATGAGACTTGGGTTGATTGCAAGAATAATGCTTTGTTGTGAAAGTATTATATATAGAAAAGAGAAAGATTGCAAAATTGGAGGGCTCACTCTTAAGGTAAGGAAAAAGTTTGGTATGGAAACAAAAATCTTTCATTAGATTGTATTTATAATATATAAAAATGTGTATATTTAAATCCTTTTTTTTCTTACACAAAATAGCAGATCGTTACCTAAATTTCTATAGAGCCTTTCAAAGATCACTCAATTTGTTTTCTTTTCTTTGTTCTAGTTGCATTGAAATCATCTAGCTCTATCAGACCAGAAAGAAATGGCATTCAGGAAACCTCTAGAACAGGAAAGTGTGGAGAAGGGATGCAGATCCTGGAAGGAGAACTCCTCTTGCAGGTATGTTTTGCAATAGACATATTTTACAAAGATTTAAATTTAAAACACCAAACACCTGTATTTACCTTACTAGATGCTCAGTGATGAGACAGAAAAAGTTTTCTTATTGTGAAATTCTTTCCTCATTTTCTTTAGGGTAATATTATCTTGCTTTTGTTTTTTTTTTGGTAGTAGGGACTTTAGAGTGTGTGTTAGAATATGGGCTCCTCTTCAGTGTTTCTAAGTAATTTATTGGGGGGGGTTCCCATCTCTTTGCATCTGTTGTTAATAAAGATATTAATATATAAAGGAACAGTTTTTATAAGGGACAGATAAGTTACTGATTTACTGTAAATTTGGTGACTAATTGTCTGAAAGAAACAATTTTTAACTTCAAAGACCTTGGGCTTGCCGAAACCTCTTGCTTTCTCAGTGGTTTGAAAGAACTCATCATACATAGTGTAGATTCAGGACAAATTTTAAAATACTTTGAATAGCTTTTATATGAACTAATGGAAAATATTTATTTAAAAACTGTAGTTTTATTTTTTAATTGTCTAGTCTGTTTTAATATCCTAGAGTGTCACAGCTTATGGATAATTCTATACTACCAAGTCCAGATTAAACTCAAAAAATTGCAAATATAGGTGTTACTATGTTCTAACTAGTTTCACAGAATGGATTTTATGGAGACCTGCAGCTCCATTTGAAATGTGTTGTTAGTCTGTCTTCTACACTGGTTTCTCACTGATGTATCTACCAGAAGTGGCAAATTGTTCAGTCATAGCCAATTGTTTCCTTCAAACAAAATGAATTTCAGTTTTCAAAGACTAGAAATGAAAACAGGTTCTTAGAATCCCACAAAAAATTATTTTAAATTGCTGCTAATTGAATTTTTTTTCCTAACCAACTTAAAAAACTAGGACATTTATTTCTAGCCTTAATAGAGTATGACAAAGAACTGTTGTGGAGTTACTGCCAGTGACCAGTTTCTTTTAAACAGAAAAGAACCTAAAAAGCTGAAATATATGGTTTATATTGGAGGCATCTATTTAATCTGAAATATGGGGGGGGGCATTATGACTTCTGACTGGAAGTTATATAAGGGAACTCTTTTCCAGTATGAAAATTATGTGGGTAATATAGTTATTACTGAAAATTCTGCCCCTCTTGGGAAGCAAACGAACCAAATTTCTTAAATGAATTTGTTTTGTAAATATTTTATATATGTGAAAAAATTTATGAGAATGAATATGCAGATAGAGTTTTCTTAGGTTATGTAACAAGTCATGAGTGTGATGAAATTGGGAATTTTCCAGAAGATAGTGGGAAGCAGTAAGTTGTAAATATTGGCACAATCCTTCCCTTCCACTTATGCTCAGAAAAGTTTTGCATTACACAGGTGAATAAATTATAACTGATGATAAATGTTTTCCTTTTATTATCTCCCTACTTTTTTTTGTTTCTCCAAGGTGATATGAATAAACACCCTATTGTTTGTAATTGCTTTTATTTGTTCATCAGTTGTTCTTGCTTGCTTCTTAACAAACAGAAAATTGTCTTTAATTTCCAACATAGAAACTGTCTTACCAATTCAATATATTGTGGGAGCAGAGATCAAATACATAAATATGTCTTTCTTAAAAGCAAGCTAAATTTCCTCTAAAATTATTTAAATTATTTCAAATTCTTATTTTAAATACAAAATCCATTGCTGCCCAAACAAGTTTATTAAAAAAGTGAAAGAAAAATTATGACCTTTAAGAAATTTTAAAAACTTAATTCTCAAAAGTAATGAACAATTTTGTAATTACCTCTTTGTTAGGAGCATTGAGAGTATTTTTAGAGGCACAAATATCATCTTCAGTTCTCCAGAATAATGAACTCACTGAGAAATTTCATTATGTGTTTTCAGATAATTGTTTTTGGATTGCATATTGCAAAAACCTCCATTAGAACTCTTTTCTTACTTATTGGTCTATCCAGATATATGCATTTTACAGAATTTTTGGCTTAAATAATGCTTATTGTGATCTCAGTACCAATCCTGGTTCAAGATGACCTGTGTACCAGGGCCAGTGCAAAATATGATTGAATTCCAGGCACAGAAAGTGTAGGTAGCTCTGTATGAAACGGACCAGAATGACCAATTTTAACATTTGAGACAAAGTTAGATGCTGTGCAGCTTGCGGATGTTTTGTGTCAAGCAGCTGAGGTGAAATGCCCTGCAGAACAGGTCAGCAGAGGACATGAGCACCTGCCACTGCAGCATTCTGCAACCATGGAATTACCGTGAGCTTCATCAGAACCAAGGATTCTGTGTAGCCACTCAACATTTCTTGGATTGGCCACGCTGTTTCATTCCAGATTATTAGTGATTTTTTATCTCATTCTTTATTCGTGTAAAATTTACTAAACTTATAAGGAGTTTTTATAGAGCTAACAATTGTTTATGAGAGCAGAATAAATAATATCTACACATTAAATTGGAGTGGTTCACAGCATTTAAAGACCAGTCATTTAACAAGATATTTCATTTATATATTATTACTTTGTTGCAGTAGGAGATATGATATCCTTCACCCACTTTGCATTTTCTATGTACAAAAATTCTGCATAAATAAAGAGGTTTTTTTAAAAAATAGTGTTGAGTATGCTGGCCAAATTTGCCTTTTAATGCAGCTGAGGAAATTAAGTGGCACAATATACTCAATCCAGCCCCTAGAGACTGCCTTTTGTTAAATCTTGACTGAGATCCATAGAAGTAAATCGGCACCTTTCAGATGAGCTGCCAAGTCACAAATGTACTGTTTGCTATCACAACAATTGCCATGGACCCTATTGATTGGAGTGCAGATAAATGCCCTTTGCGTGACTTTGAGTGTGGAGCCGCCTGGTCTGCTGCTCCACCGAGGGGGAAATCTCTTCAAAAACATTGTTTACTTGCAACAGTCTGCTTTTGCAGAGGTTTTCTATTTTAAGTAAACTATAAAATGTTTTCTTGGACTATATAGGGGATCTTGATAGCTTGATTTCCTGTCCTCAATGGCCTGTCTGCACTATGAATAGAATGGATTTTGGGACTGGGTTTGTGACATGGCTCTCGTTTGTGCTGTGGGCAGCTGGGGGTATCCAAGGCTTGAAGCACACAAACATTGAGAAATGTGGTTGATGTTAGATAAACTTACAGTTCTTCATATATGTCCCTTGCCTTCTTCAATCAAGGGTATTGAAAAATCATCAACATGGATTGTCTCCTCTGCTGAATTTTAAAATAAAGTTTAGGTTTTTTCTCGTTAGATCCAGTTTTCCTCATTTTAACACACTGTAGAGAGATGCAATGAGGAATCCTGTTTGTGCTGTCAGATAATGATGTGCTTTTGCATGCTTCACATTTTATTGGGGGACTACAGTATAGGTAGACATAGAGACACAATAATTATCTGGAATTTTATCTCTGAAGCTGACAGATTGCTGTGTTTCTTCCCCAGGCATTAAATGGATTTGTGTTAGTCGTTACAGCAGATGCTCTGGTGTTTTATGTCTCTTCTACTATCCAAGACTATTTGGGATTCCAACAAGTAAGTTTATGTTTCTCTTCTATTTTTTTCAAAAGTTTTGCCTAATTTCAGGGAACATCAGTGTTCATATTTAGGGCCTTAAATTTTTTTTGTAATAAAACTCTCAGTTAGGTACTTTAGGTTGAATTACTTTTAAACCGTATTTTCTGAAACCATATTTTCTGTCGGCTTCCATAGCCAGGATGTCAGGCCAAGCACAACAGGAATATAATTTCCAAAGTTGAGTTAGGCAAGATAGGAAATTTTCACACTTAATTATTCTTTACTGGAACAACTGTTTGAAATTTATACTGTGGTGTTACCCAGTTTATGATGCTGAGTGAGACATAATTCAATGGGAAGGTAATTATTTTAATAGAATCCTTTCATGAAAAATTATTTCCATATGCCTTGAGCTTTATAAATATCAAGTGACTGATTTTGGTATTTTTGGAATTTGTTCTCTTGCTCATGTTTATTTATGCAATTATTAATTTCAAGAAAAGCATTTGTTTTTTACTATTTATGGTGCAGATTACATATGGCCAACATTACTGGGCTTGAAAACCAGGTGCCAAAGTACTGAAGACTGAGACATAGCAGGCAAATTCTGCCTTTGTTAAAAAACTCCTGGGATTACTTTATGTGAAGATGATAGAATGAAGATGGTAGTTATAGTTCTCCGAGTATATCCATGAATACTGCATATTGATAGATTCAGCTGCTGTCTAAACATAGCAAGAAACCTTGCTTGGTCCTCAATTTCACGTAACTGATAAGAGATTGGGGAAAGTTTGTGTAAAAGAAAATATTTCAAAAAACCCCATTTTTATTCCTGGGTTTATATATTACTTCTGGGGAAGTAATATTATATATTAGTTCTGGGGAATAAAAAAAGAAAAATGCTTGGAAAGAAAAATGCTTGGAAAACAAATTTGGCGTAACATTCATGAGGTAATGCTAGTAAATCAAGTACATGATATAGAAGTAAAGTCTTAAAGTTACAAAAATTAGCATTTCTGGCAATTTATTCTGGAAAATACTGATTGTTTTATGAAATTCGTCATAGCAAAATTTGACCTAGGCTTCTGCTTCTGCCAGTTCATCTCAATTACATTAGATCTATGTTTTATTTAAGTATTTTCTGCTTATATAATGGTTGAGTTTTTTGAAACATGCCAAGAAACAGGATCTTAACTCTTGTCAGTCAACTGAGTCTTTTCTTGACTATTTTGGATGGGTTTTTTTCCCCTTAAATTCCTCTAAGCACTAATCCTTGCTCTTGAGCCTTTGCCATTTAGATCACATTCCTAACCACACAATTGGTATTGGAATAAGGGCTTAATAATTACATGTTGTAACGCATCCTTAAGAAGGGACAAAGCTTTCAGGCAAATTCACTGTTTATAATCTGCTTGGCTTAGTTTTGGTAGTTTGGTTCAGGGTCTTTAGCTGCTTTTATATTCCTGTAGCAGCTATAGTGGATCAAGTCAAATACTATGTGGTAAATACTTTATTTACCAGTATATGAAATTAAATAACTTAAACACAACCTAAGCATAGCATTTCCAGGCCTTCTTAGGTAGAAGCAGGTAAAGAAATAGTTGACATAATGGAACTTCTTTTTCTAAGGCAATATTTTTTATTATTGTTTCCCATGCTTATAGTCACATGTGTAATTGAGCTGTTCTCTGCGTTGCTAAAAATTGTTTCATGAAGCTTTGCCACCTGCATGTGGTTGTATGTATTTATCCCTGAGAAAAATGGATTTTGCTGTATCCATAACAGTGTTGTCAATGAGACAACTTGGACCATATTGTGATATAATTTTCTTATTGTTGTTCTCTCTCACCTTTCTCCTTTTGTTCACAGTCAGATATTATACACCAGAGTGTATTTGAATTGATTCACACAGAAGACAGACCTGAGTTTCAACGACAGCTACATTGGGCATTAAATCCTGCCCAGTCAGGAGATTCTGGACCAAGCGTACAAGGTGAGAACAGAATTTATTGTTTGCCTGTCAGATTAGTTGTTTGCCTTTGGGCTTTTTTAATTTGTTATGTAAAAAAAACCCAAAAAGATAATTTTAGAATAATAAAGGAAGAAATAGCATCTTTCAAATTTATTTTAATTTTATGGGCACATTTAGTCAACAGTGAGAATTACTATTTTTTGTAAAACAGTGCATATTTAGTGATTCTCTTAATTTTTGAGAATTACTAAATATGCACTGTTATTCGTAGTATTAAAGTACTAATTATACTTTAAATTGGAAGACTTTAATTTGGAGTATAAGTGACAATGTTTCTTTGATCAGTTCAAGGATATGCTAATTACAGTGTTACTATAGGGAACAGCGCATTCATTGCCACATAGAGCAGTACTTCTCTTGGAGATAAAAGGGGAAGAGAAATAAAAAATGACATAGATGAGCCTTTAAGATCAAGAAGTGTGCATGTTAGAGCAGAGTTGTCACATGTTACTGGCTGATGCTTAAGTGAGCTGCTATATTGAGAAACAGCTAAGGTGAAACATATTGCATGTGTGTCAGAGCAAAGATGTGTAGGTGCAGGTTATGTGTAATCCAGGAAGCATGTGCCCGCATCACAATGACAACAAAGCCATTGAGACAACTGCTCCATTTTAATGCTCCCTTTGCACAACAGTTGTTAAACATGTAGGTAAAATCTTCCACTACTGTGACATGATTATAGGGCATTTATTAATCCATAAAAAGTCAATTTTAAAAAATAAATCTTTAAGTAATTAAAAAAAAAGACTATGGAAATGCCATGATTTGGTAGAGAAAGATTACTGTGTTTGTAACACACCTCAGTATATTTCAGTTTTTCATTTAGCAGTCAACGTTGTTCCATCATGTCTAGATCAATCTCCACAGGTCTGCTGCACAGCTAGGTAATAGCAGAGTTCAGTACAGCAAAGAGTGCAGTTCTCAGAAACCAAATTTTCATCCTGCTTGCTTCAGAATGAAATTGTGTTCTATGGACCTTAAGCAAGTGCATATGAATTTAGAAAAAGTTATTTGAAAAGAATGACACCAGGTTGGATTTGCCTCAGATTTGACTGAACATTGGGATGTGCTGAGTAGGATTGCAAACAATTTTTTGTTTTGTATGTAGTGTTTCTAGGTTGCTAAAAGCTGCTAATTGTGCCCCATTCCTGGAAGCATTCAAGGACTGGGTGGATGGGTCTTTGAGCAACCTGGTCTAGCTAAAGGTGTCCCTGTCCATGGCAGGGGGGTTGGAATTAGGTGATCTCCAAGGTCTCTTCTATCTCAAACCATTCTATAATTCAGTGATAACTTTTGAGCCTCAAGTGGCATAAAATGTTTGGATGTTGAGGATTTTAAACTGAATTCAGAATTATAGCAAAGGATAATGCTATGACCATAAGGATCCCCTCCATTTTTGCTAATTTAATCCATTTCTTTTTTAATACATTCAGCTGGCATTATGTAGATATTTATAGATATCTCAGACTCAGGCACAGATTCCATCCTGAGTCTGGGAACTGATTCTGCTTCAGTTAGCCTGGGCTAGTTATTTCTCACTCAGTACTCTGGTATGCTGCTAGACCACTGGTTTCCTCAGCTGTTACTGTGCTTCCCAGACATGCCTCCCAGTCCTTGACTTGTTCCCAGAGAAGTTTGCAAAATTCTGATTTTTTCAGTCCCAAATATCTGCTTTGGGGCATTAAGTCTGGATTATCTTTTGAACTTGGTGTGTTGTGCAACCATATGGTCTTGAGTTTAAAGGCAAGCACTTAATGCACTGCATGTTCTGCACGTTGTTCCTGGGATTGATGAGATCCAGTGGGAGCTTTTGAGGGATATGGCTTCTAACCCCTGTAGTGTTAACTGGTAGTTTTGCTCTAGGGATTGTAGGTGCTCTGTAAGATTCTTTGCCTTCTTACAGTGAGTCACTTCAAGATCCTGGCAGTAAAACCTTCCTGCCTTCCGTCTGCCTGGAAAAGTGCAGCAGTGTTGCTTTCACAAGTGTAGGAGGCTCAGTTTTGAAGCCCACTGCCTCCTGTTTTGAGTTCTGTTCCCCTTCCTTTTGGGAGCCGCTTCTTTCACAACAGCTCTGCTCACTCTTGAGAACTGTGCATTTTACTATGGAACTTGACAAACTCCACAGCATCCAGCTGGATTTGCTGAACCTTCAAATTTCAGCTCTATACTTACCCAAAGAATAACACTGAGATTCTCCTGTGGCAGAAATGCTGAAGGACACACCTAACTGTGCTGAAGATGCCAGCAGAAACCCTGCTACTACTTATTGGGTACTACATCTGCACCCAGTCAGAGTTGGCATCTTTGAAATGTTATTTAGGATTTGCATACTGTTTCCTTGATGCTCTTTCTTCCTAATCAGTGCTTCTTCAGAGAGCTTCCTAGAGAAGGACCATCTCAGAATGTTGAAAATTCTCACTGTCAGTTAAGCAATTTATAATAGTAAAAAACCTGCAGCTGTAGCAATTAAGGAAGTTTGCTTTGTCTGTTGAGAACTGTCCATATGACAAGTGTGGGAATTTCTTATTTTGTAATTTCAAAGTTATATAGTTACTGTCTTGGACTCCAAATACCTGAGTTTATCTGCCTGTGGGATCTGCTCATAATGGTGGCTGGCCAATACAGTTCTTTACATGGCTGTAATTTCAGATTATCCCTTTTCATCACACTACCAGCTAGGACAGAAAAAGGTTTCTTTTTCTCCATACCTTGAAGTTTATTCCACAAAAATTGACCTTGCATAGCAGTTCTTTTAAGAAAAAAAAAAGATATCTCCTCATTTTATCTGAAAAGCTAGATAACTCAGCATACTTGTAGGATTCAGATGGCCTTAGGTCGGAAGGCCTATTGGTAGGATATCAGCAATTTCATTTGGCTCCAATTCAGTCCCTTGAATTCATAGGAGATTAAATAGAACTGCCTTTTGGTAATGATTTGTTTACCTTTGGGTTTGTTTTGCTAGTGTACTAACCTCTGAGCCTATCTGTAAGTTTTTCCAGCTGTTCATGAGACAGAATTATATTCCAGAAAATATAATGTGGTGTGTTATTAAGTGACATGCTCTCCCTGTCCTCATCTCCATGTCTGGAAAGTCAATATGGGTTGTTAAAATCTGTAGTATTATTTTTGTCCATACTTGATAATCAGGTCTCTAAGAGTACATGGACTACTTTTTTAAATTAAAGATTATTTTATTATAAGCTGGATTTTTCTCAATTTTCTGCATGTATGAATTCGTAGGGTATGACTGGTTTTTTATATGTATTGCAAACAAGATTGCTTTGCTAAATTTGCTGTGAGTAGTCATGCTGTGGTATCTCTGTATGTATAGTCTCATGTAGTACATATGTATTTTATCAGAGGTTTATTGATTTACCTTCTGTTTTTACTTTATATTCCAAATGTTTAAGTCTGTTTTGTAAATACCACTTAGCAGCAAATGCTTGTCCTGACAATGTGGAAGGATACCATGTTGGTATCCTAGTTTGCAATCATGGTTTTGAGTATTTTGTAAAACAAACAACTGCAAAACACAAATACTCCAGGTATACCTGGAGAGGTAACTATGGTGTTTTGGTCGACAGAACCCAGAAATATTTTCACTATTTAGTAGGGTAATTTTGCCTTCATTGTAGAAAAATGGTGATTTTTTGTGGTGGTTTCCAAAAGTTGCTGACTTTTATTTATTGCTACTGCTTTCACCTGGCTGTCTGGAAAGTAAGTTTCACAGTTTGATACTGAGTTTTTCAATACTCAGTTCCTGCAGTTGCTGTGCCTTTTTGGAGATCCTACCATTGAAGAAACACTGGTGTGTTCTCTGCTGAGAGCTCTGCTCTTTGCAACTGATCCAGAATCTAGGCTGTGGATCAAATAATGAATGAATTAAAAACCCAAACAAACAAAAGCCCCAATGTAAAAAAAAAGACCCAAAACCTGAAATTATATTCAGTTTTCAAATCCCATAGCCTGTAAAACATAATCCCATCCGAAGAATTGGTGTTTAACCTCAGTGTTACAATAATAATAGGTTCTGAGGATGTTTCCAGTTTACATTGTTCTTGCTCAGGTCACGACCTTACGCATTGTTTATGAGAAGGAAGATCGTTTGTTATAGATAGCCTTCTCTAGGTGTTCTTCTAAAAATAATCCTTATAAATAATCCTTTCCTGCAGGAGATAATGGCTTTTCACAGCCAGCAACCTATTATAACCCAGACCAACTTCCTCCAGAGAATTCTTCCTTTATGGAAAGGAATTTCATCTGCAGGTTACGATGCCTCCTGGATAATTCATCTGGATTCCTGGTGAGTATGGAGTTACATAAAAACCTCCACATCTGCTTAAAAGTTGGAAATCTGCACCTCTTAACAAGAGGTGCAGTAACTTAGTTTATTTGTAAGTCTCCAAAGCTATCTGGGCTGCTTGAACCACAATGTTTCAGTTAGTGAACTGAATGTCTTCCCTTTAAGACTGTTGTCACAACCAGGTGCAAGTTCTCTCTCATGGCCAAGTTTCCCCAATTAAATGCAAATAAGAAACTGCTTTTGTAAAATGCTGTGTGATTAAAATGCATCACAGGAGTATTTTCTTGTAGCAAGTTGAGTATCTTGAGATACAGTAAATTATGATAATTAAGAGGACCATAGTTTTTCCTTATTTGGAAAAGTTTGTGCTTGCTCTTTTTAATGCATTTTTTGTTATTAAATTATTTATATTTTAAAACAAGTAAGGGTTTATCACCCCCTATGTGGTATCTTATAAAATAGAATTCTTTAGAATTGCAAAATTGAACATACAAATTTGCAAGAGAAATAATGATATAATTATATGCATGTATGTTCATTAGAATATTAGAAGCCCCAGTTGATATGTGATACTATATGTTTATTTTTTTGGTATTTTACAGAATAGTCTTCCCATTAATTAATTTTTCAGTATCTTTATTAGTAGATATTGAAGTGACATCGTCAGGGGTATAACAACAGTGTTCTGTACTTGTTAGCTAAGTTTTATGTATGCCATCCTATAAAATGGATGAATGATTCTGATGGATCTTAAAAAAATGACAAATGCATATTTACATAATAACAAAAATGTATTGCTTTTAAATATCTCCAGCATGTAACAATTACTTTTTTTTTTGAACCTAAGGCTATGAATTTTCAAGGACGATTGAAGTTTCTCCATGGACAAAACAAGAAAGGGAAGGATGGTGCTGCTTTGTCTCCTCAGCTTGCACTGTTTGCAGTAGCCACTCCCCTGCAGCCACCATCCATCCTTGAGATACGAACCAAAAACTTCATCTTCAGAACTAAACACAAACTGGATTTCACACCCACTGGCTGTGATGCAAAGTAGGTGTAAATTGTTCTCTGTAATTGTCTAATAATTTGCTGATGAAATAGGTTTCAGGTAGGTATTTGAAATATAAAGCAGGTTACTCTTTTGGTATATAAACTGTTCCAGTGATGGCAGTGTAGAAGCTGTTGAAGTTTTTCTCTCCAGCCCTGCTATCAGGTAAAGAGAAATGGGCTTGCCATAGTCTATTTCCTTGGAATGGCATGCGGCTCTCTGACTCTCAGTTGTTAGAAAAACAAAGCAAATACCTGCAAAACCAATGCAAAATAAAAAACTGAAAGATGGCATACTAATGAATTAGGGAAGAGGAAAAGTTTCATGTTAAATCTGGTTTGAAATTTGGTTTTAGAACTGATAGAGCAAGTGTTTAATTTCATTCCACATTTCTCCTTTAGTTCAAATACGTGTAAAATACAATGGAAATGTATTTTCCTTCAACAGAATTTAAATACATTTTTTATAGTATGATTTTACCCACTTCCAAACCATTCTTTTCCCTATGTAAAATTTAGAAACACTACTGCAGTACTAGATCAAAATATTGTTTCAGCACAGCAAGAAGCCCATTAGGATGCTTTTTTTATCAAAATAAGAACCTCTGGCCTCCTTCCTTCTCCTCTCCCTCCCATTTTTGACTTAGAATGCTTTGATTTTCAGTGGAGTCTCTCACATGGGTTTCCATGGCTACTTACAGGACAGAATTGAATTACTTGGTGTTTTGTCTACTGAGAGACCAAAATGTTTTATTTCTCTAAGCTGATACAAGTAAAAAACAACAAAATGTTAACACAAGTGTTTCTTTTCTCTGTTTGATGTTTTTATTCTCTTGTAAAAAATACTTTTATGTATATTGTTTCCCATCTCTACTTTCCCCCTTTTTTTACCTTTTGTCTTTGCATCTCCATGTCTTTGTTTCAAATCCTGTTTAAGTCTCTCTTTGACCATGTCTTTTTATCAGATATCGCACAGCAATCACATGAATTCTGTTAAGTGTTTCATCTCCCCAGCTTCTAGTAAAGTACTATAATGTTAGCTGCAGGGTCAGTCATGACCTCTGAGTCATATCTTGTTTAATGCAAACACAGGGGTCTCATACCACTCAATAGCAAAGGGGATGTAGCTCTGAGATACATTAAGCTACTAAAAATTCTAATTTAGACAAGAAGTTTTAGATGACTGAAATTAAACCCCTATTTAATTCTACACACAAGCACCTATTGGTAAATGATAAGAAGCAGGGCTAAGAAAGCAGTGTCTTTCTTTGGAAGTAATGGGAGCTGCCTGCTAGGAGTGAAAATGTTCAGTAGTGTGGAATTGAGAGTCTGGCTGTAGGCATCCACTCTTTTTTATGATCTAATGGTTTTGTGAACCCAGTCCTAGTCACTGAAGGCAACCTGGCAGACTAGTTAAAGTTTTATGATTTGTTGACTCTATGTTTTATTGGAGCTGTTCCGCTTCCGTGTATAATTGATATAGCCACAAACTGTAGTTTGCATCTGAAATATTCTAGCCCTAATTAACTTGCTGACATTCATTCTGTGAGTTGCTTCATCAGCTGTGTTGCAATTTTTTGGTTTTATCTTCCAGAGGAAAAATTGTCCTGGGATACACTGAAGCAGAGCTGTGTATGAGAGGAACAGGATACCAGTTTATTCATGCAGCTGACATGCTCTATTGTGCTGAAAATCACATCCGAAGTAAGTTTCATTCCCTAAAAAAGGCTGTAAAATCAAAGCATGGAGTATTTTTTTCAGTATGAATGCAATATGAATTACAGAAAAAAAGAGGTTTTTAACAAAAAGAACACTGTTCATTTCATATGTTCTACTTGTCCTTCTAAAAACTTACACTGATTAAAGAAATGTTTAATATTCCTATTTAGACTCTTTTGGGATAAATATTCCAGTCTCTGTCACATCTTGCTCTTCTCACTTGCTTCTCTGCTCAACTCAACTTCTGCTATTTCAAGAACTTTCTTTGGGCAAGGGGACTACCAAGGATAGCTTTCCTGTTAAAAAGATAATATAGCATTTTCTTTTGATACTAGTGTAAGATTTTTACCACAAATTGATCTCTGATTTAACATCCTGGCTTCCAAACATTTCTGGGTTTGATTCTTGGCAGCTTGATCTGGTTTAAGTAACAATTATGGAGAGAAGTATAGTGTTGAGGAAATAAGCACCAGCTATCTGATGTATAACTATTTAGGGGACTCTGTTTTTTACTTCTGCTTTTAGTTATAACAGAGTTATCTTTGGAACTTACAGAATCATCTTCAGAATATTATGGTACTTCTTTCCACTGACTTCTCTTGAAAAGGTCAATTTTTTTTCTCTTATCCCCTCATAGACAACTGGATAATGCTCCTCAGCAGGTTGTTCTCAGCCTATTTAAACATGTTTTCTGCTTCAGGTGTAGCTCAGTGCCTGTTGCTTATCAGTAGTTTTGTTTCTTTCATAAAGAAAAAGAGATGGTTCCAGAGTAGAAGGGGATGAAATTTGAATGGTTTGAAGCTTTCTCTTAGAACTGGTTTTGCTACATTTTTAATGCTAAGATTAAAATAAAGAAAATAGGTTTTGTAGCAAGCATTTTTGGTTATATTCTTAGACTTTCCTAATACATTTTATTTAGTTTTTCTGTCTAGAAGTGCAGGGTTTTTGAGCAATTGTATTACTTCCACCCCTTGCCTCTGTGAATCACATATTTAAGAATTATCTTTAAAATTCACATTCATCACACAACCTTCACTTAAAACAAAAAAACCAACCAAAATAAACTAAAGCTCCCCACACAAAAACCAAGATAACTTCATCACAACACAGAACAAAATTGGAAAATTTGCACAAAATCTGCCCCTGTCCCTTCACCACAATTGCAACAAAACTTCCCCATGATAATTTTACTCTCTAAGATTGTTCAGTACTTGTTTTGCCTTTTACCTCTCCTGGTTACCCTCCACATCTCAGCATCCTCGTGGTCCTGGGTTTTGGCACCAAAATTACTTTAGTGGGTTGACCCTGGCTGCATGCCAGGCACCCACCAAAGCCTCTCCATCTCAGCCCATCACAACTGGACAAGGGAGAGAAAATATAATGAAGGGTTCATGGATTGAGATAAGGAACAGGAGAGATCACTCACCAAATACTGTTACAGGCAGAACAGACTTCATCTGGGCATATTAATTTAATTAATTACTAACAAAAGAGCAGGATAAAGGGGAAGTAAAGTAAGGCCATAAAAACACCTTCCACCAGGAAACCTTCTCCAGTATGGGCTCCTCTCTCTGTGGGTCTGCAAGCCTCTGCCAGGAGCCTCCCCCAGCACTGGCCTCCCATGGGTTCACAGCCTCCTGTAAGGCATCCACCCACCCTGGCATGGGTCTCCTCCACAGACTGCAGGTGGATGGATCTGTGCATCCCCGTGGTTCTGCATGGCACAGCCTCTGCACCATGGGCTGCAGGGGAGCCTCAGCTATGAAACCTCCTGCTCTTCCTTCCTCACTGCCCTTGGTGTCTGCAGAATTGTTCCTCACATATTCTCAACCCGCTCTTCTCTGGCCACAATTATATCTACACAATAATTTTTTTTTTCTCAAATGTTATGACAAAGGCATTATCATGATTTCTAATTGTCCCAGACTTGCCTAGCAGCCTGTCCACCTTGCAGCTGCTAGAGATTTGCTCTGCTGGAAATGGAGGAAGCTTCTAGCAGCTTCTTACAGAGGCCACCCCTGTAGCCCTCCCTGTCACTCCAAAACCTGACCACACAAACCCAGTACAGAAATGTACTGTAAACATTGAGTATGTTTATGAAGCATTGTTAGTGGTAGTGGGAATGAAACATAAGATTTTCAAGTACATATTTATGCACATTTGACCTGTGCATAAACCAGTCAAAATGTGAAAGGATTGCATTCAGAACTAATGTGTTTTCTAAATGTTGAAGTAATAGCTTTATGAGGGTGAGAGAGACTTGGGCGTTTGTCATTTACGTGTTCTAGTATTTATTAATTTCTGTTTTTGAAGAAATAATGGACAAAGCCCCATATAGAAAGTTACCAATCTCTAGCAGATATCTACCAATCTCTAGCAGTCAGTTTTGACTTCTATTTTATGAGTACATTAGACATCTTGAAGTGATCAGTCATCCTGATTCACTGGGAATGTATTAATGCCACACCAAATTGGGTGATTGAGGAGATGAGATTTGTAAAATTTTTCTACAAATGGGATTTTGTTCATGACATGCATGTTTTCATGATTTATTTGCCGGACAGTAAACAGTATGCTTACTCTTTAGTGATGAAGACAGGTGAGAGTGGAATGACTGTATTTAGGCTTCTAACCAAAGAAAATCGATGGGCCTGGGTGCAGGCAAATGCACGGCTTGTCTACAAAAATGGAAGACCAGATTACATCATTGCCACGCAAAGACCTCTTACGTAAGTCACCGGTTCATAAAGTAGTACACTTCCAAACTGAAAAGTAGTTTGAGGCTGTTTATATTCTTCACAAAGGAATTTCTGGTTTTAAATTATTACCCTTTATATTCCAAATTCCCCAAATTCTTTCTTGCTAACAAACAGGTAGAAAATTCTGGTATTTCAGAACTTGTGGCATAGTTCTTTTGCATAAAACTTCAGACAAATATATTTCTTAGAAAGAAAAATGTCAGCAGCAGAAGCATGAAGTTATTCTATGCACTATATTCAATCCCAATAAGCAAAACCTGAGAAATCCAACCACAGTTGTGTAGAAGGAGTAACAAATAACAAATTTAGTCCTGAATTTTAGTACTGAACAAAGTTCTGCATAATATGGAATTCAGCCTTGTTAAATAGATTAAATAATTTTTTGCTAAGGAGTTTGTAAAGTGGAGAAAAATTGATACTTCAAGTATTGATTTACTTTCTATACCAAGAAAAGCTTAATGCATGGAACAAAGCCCACTTGTTTTTATGTCAGCCCATAATGCACAGAAAATGGTGTATACTGTCTAGATTTAATTACAAATGTAATATGTAAATGTGGTATTACAGTCATAAGCTCCTTATTTCATAATCTGCCTCTTGGTTTAACTCAGTCAAGTTGAGCTGGAATAGGTAGGAATTCGAAAAATGCCTACAAATAGAATAGTTCATTTTTTATGTTAATTCCATGGGACAAAAAGATTAGAATAACTGTTTATTACTGCAGTACCATGCTACATATCTGATTTATTTTCAGAGATGAAGAAGGGGCAGAACATCTACGGAAGCGTAACATGAAGTTGCCCTTCATGTTTGCCACGGGTGAGGCTGTGTTGTATGAGGTATCTTTCCCTATGTCAAGCCTTATGGACCCCTCTCAACCGAAGAGTAAAAGCACGGTGGGAAAAGGAGGCAAAGCAACGCTACACGATGACTCTGTGGATCCAAACTCCCTCCTAGGTGTCATGTTAAGGCAAGACGAGTCTGTTTATCTCTGCCCTCCAGCCTCACATAAACTTTCTTTTGAGCGGAACTTCTTTGCAGACAGTAGGGATGAACTGGGTGGTGTTGTTAGCGGTGGCTGGACAGACAATCTCCTACCTGCTGGAAATCACAACATTCTCAAACGGGAGCTGATGGAGTGTTCCCAGGACAGTACTGTTCCACTTCCTGAAGACAGTGCAGCACTCTTTCAGGATAACAAAACCAGTGATTTGTACAGCATCATGAAAAATCTGGGTATTGACTTTGAAGATCTAAAGTGTATTCAGCAGGACGAGGAGTTTTTTAAAACTGAATTATCTGATGTGGATGATCTTGGGGACATCAACATAACTGACGAAATCCTGACTTATGTTCAGGATTCCTTAAATAAATCTGACTTCTTATATTCAGACTGTAACCAGCAGCAGCCCTTGGTCCAGAACGAAGGTTGCATGGTACAGCAAGACTTAGGTCCACATCAACTTCATCAGCACCAGAAGCAGCTTGTGGAACAGCAACAGCAGCAGCAGCAGCAGCAGCAGCAGCAGCAACAGCAGCTGTGTCAAAAGATGAAACATATGCAAGTCAATGGGATGTTCACAAATTGGAGCTCTGGCATGCCTCTTAGCTGCTCACAGCAGCAGCCCCAGCAATACATGTTCCCTGGCATGCATGCCAGTACATCTGAGTTCTCTTACAAATCAGAAGTTAACACTTCCCCTTATGAGTGTAGGCAAGACTTTGTTCCTTACAAGCAACCCACAGCAATGATGCCACAGCTCTCTAATTTTTCTCAAATGGATTTTCCTGCAGCAGGTTTTGATGGATCGACCTATTCTGCTTCTTCCAACTTTGAGGATTTTCTCAGTTGTTTGCAGCAAGTCCCTGAAAGCCTTGAGTGTGGGATAAACTCTGAGTCGGTTATGCTGACTCCTCAAACCTGCTATGCAGGCGCTGTTTCCATGTACCCGTGCACGCAGGAGGCACAGCCCAGCTGCATGGATCAAATGCAGTATGATCCTGTGATGACAAATCAGCAGCAACAACCCTTGGGGAACAAGGTATGGTAAACAGCATTGCTGCACTGCTTGCACTTTGAATCGAGTTTATATTGTTTTGGGTGACTGCTGGGGGGCAGAGTTTGTTTGACTGAATTGCTGAGGTTGACATGGATGGCTTAGCAGTGTGTGAATGTCTTTGCTTTATTTGTTCATTAGAGTGAAGAGAATTGCATTTGGTCAAGTTTATATATATGTATACCTGCAGTCTGATAGGTCTCTTTAGCAGTATTAATCAATTAACTAGTCTGTGGTGCTACACCAGTAATTTTCCTGATAGGAGCCAATATATTAGCAAATTCCAAGTCTTGGAATTTGCTAATAAATCCTTTATAGAGGAATTGAGTTTGCTTATTTCATTTCATTTTCATTAAATATGTTGTAAGGATCAAAAAAAAAAAAAAGGTTTTGAAATGTGAATATTGTCTAGCTACTCAGATTCCTCAATGATTTTAGGATTAGTGAAAGCATTAGATTATAGTATCATAAAAATGGCCTGAAATATGAACTGTTTCACTCCTACACACAATGTTACTGCAAAACCAAGTTTTTATATATTGCTATGAGTGAAAGCCAGCTTGTTCCTGAAGCTGCTGTCTAAATTAACTGCAGAAGAAATAAGAATTGGAAAAAGTTATAACTGCAGTAAAATAATCTGGTCCTTTTTCACCAAGGAGAATGCACAATAAAAGTCATAGAAGAGAAGATCCTGGCTGTAGTGCAGACTACAGTTGTAATCACTGCTCTTCATTGGTAAAATTAACTTAGAAACAAAATTCAATTACTAGTTCCTGATTCTGAATAATCTTTGTTGCAGTACTTTCTGTTATACCCTTTATTTCTGTTAATGCTTCTACAGTACAGACTCACAATTCTTATTTTTTGTTGTTGTATCTCAATGAGTTAATGTTCTGAAGTACTGATCCTGCAAATGCTTATGCACATGCATAAGCATTTACAGAATTAAAGTATTAAAGTGGCATTTAACCTATGCAAGACAAAGGTGAGGAATGCAATTAGAGCATATCCATTTTTTACATGCTTTATACAAGTATGAAACATTCCCTTTTTAAAACTGCTTCACTGCTGAAAAGAATGCAATTGCAGAAATTTACCTAAATTATAGCACAGTTCAGCATGATGAATGGATTCTTCCTGAGGTTGAAATTGCATGAAGTGACTTTGAGAAACTGCAATGTGCAAGCTAGAGCACGACTTGGCTGTGCCTTGCCTGGCTGTGCTCAATGTTTAGTCTTTCACAGTGCTTCTTAATAGGGCTGCAGAGCAGCTCCAGGGCCATCCAAGTTTGTCTTTACAATAACAAAGCATTACTCTTTACACAAAAGCTGTACTAATGCGATGCATCAGTTTTGAACAGCTATTACATTTGCAATTCCTTTTTTTTTATTTTTAATGGCTGGTTTCAAATGCATTTATTTTGCAGATTATTTTGTTGTTACACTTCCTTAATAATTTTTGTTATGACCCTTCTTTTTATATTCTTCCCTGCATTTACTTCACGTCTATCTATACAAAGTTTAATGACTAAGACAGCACCTCTGAAAAAATTATGTCTATTACTTCCTATTTACTGAAATGCTGTGCTGCAATAATAATAGGATTTTTAGTTTGTTGTAAAGAAAAATTATCAAAGGCCACTTTGTGGAAATATTGTGCTTACTTAAGCTGTTCAGAGGCAAATTCAGCCCCTCTTGTTAGGTTCCTGTGCTCCATGGGGCTGAGCACCACTGCATGAGCAGAAGCCTCATGTGACTAAGCAGATAGGATACTGCTGTCTGAGCCCACATTCACACAGAGAAAACAACGCAGGACAGCCTTGGTGGCTGGGTTTAGCACACTCACAATCCCTGTCAGTGGTTGGAGTCCAGAGAGAGGACAGATGTCACTATACAAGCCTTGATTGTTATCTTTTCAGACTTCTAACTCCCATTGATTTCTCTATGAAAAGACTATGGAATTAGAAAGTCAGAGGGTTCTATTGTGTTCATGTGCCTTGACTTTCTGCCTATCTTGTAATTGTGGTAGGAGCATAGCTAGTGCAGTCTGAAATCACTTTCAGTGATGGAGAACAACAGAAAGGCCTGTGATCATTTGGCTGCTTGTTTAGAATCAGTATTCCTTTATTAAGCAGGAGAAACCTTCCTAAGTAAGTACTATGGTCATCTTATTATTCTAATTCCATAGTCTTTTCATGGAGAAATCAATGGGAGTTAGATTCTATGTTGAGAGCATTCTTAAAAAAAATTATGAGTATGGTCATCTTATTTATGAAGAATATTGAAATAATCTGATTCTGTCAGAAAAATCCTTGTGTGTACTCTTAAAAGTATGTCAGCTTTGATGAAAAACATAATTCACATGGCTATGGCCTTGTTGTTGAAAACTTAGAAGACTTGTGCACAGTTAGTCAAATTTCAGTGCTTGCATAGAAGGAAAAAAGAGCTAATACCCAGCATAATTTGGTAGATGAATGGATGAATGAATGTATAAGACATGTTCTTAAAGACAAACCTTGAAGGAATGAGTACTTGTGATATAAGCTACTCCCAAAGAGATGATGGAAATGTTTAAAATGCTTTGCTGTATTTTTTTGCATGACCGAATGGAGTATTTTGTAGATAAAGTCCACAGCATGACAGGAAGCATTACATTAGGTGATTAAAATAATCCTATGAACAATTATGTTAAGACTGATGAAAGCCATTCATTGCTCTTACTTGGCACTGTCAGTATGAGGACTGTCAAAAAGCCCACCCTGCAACATTTCAGCCAGTGGATTGCACACAGTGTGCTTCAGCTTATGGATAGGACTGCATGTGCATTCCTGGAGGAGCTGTTATGTCTGGATCCCACTGCAGGCATGGAAAGATGTAAATAGGTTGCTTTTAAAGTGTAACAGCTGGATGTGACAATGAGGAGTTCTCAAACTGTACTTTCTAGAAATAGAAACTCTATTGCGCTTTAGATAATAGAATTATTTCTTTGCTTAGCCAGAAGTAGGGCTGCCATTGACTTCAACATGGGTAGAGTTCACTGATGATTCAGTCCCTATTTTAATGTAAATGACATTATCATTAATCATTATTTAAAAAGCAATTAAAGCTAATCAATATATTTAAAGATTATTTTATCCAGTGTGTCTTTAGGAGGACTTTAAAATACTTATTAATAAATTAGCTTCCTATACTAACCATTTATATTCTCTTTTTTCCTGCCAGTTCCAAAATGGTTTCAATGGAGGAAATGTAAATGAATCATATCCCTCTCAGTTAGATGTGATCAGTAATGCACAGACTGCCACACATCTTCAGCCTCTTCATCATCCAAAAGAACCCAGATCCTTCTCAGATTTGGCATCTAGTGGATTTATGTGATTCAGACCTAGAGCTCCATCTGTGATTTTGTCTGGGCATCAGGTTGCTCTGAGGAAAAGCTTGATATGTCTCTCTTTGAGTGTCAGACTTGAACAGCTAAATTCCATTTTGAGAATATGAGGTTGGTTGCACTATATACGGGTGGATATGTAATTCAAGACCTGGCTTCTTAGAATGACAGGTGGAATTAAATCTTCTGATTTAAAGTATGCATGTGCTGTTTTCCATCAGGCTGACTGTGTCCTTGCAGTATGGATTACATACATACTACAGACTATGTCATGCTATACAACATAAGATAAGGCAAATGGTTTTGTTATTTAGAAAATAATTGGGCACTTTACAAATAGCATTGATGGCACAAGGAAGGTGATTCACATGTGGATTATTTCCAGACTTTATTTTTTAAAAATTATTAAAAAGCTCTAAATTCATGAGAATCAAAAGCACTTAATTTTAATGCATACTAAGCTCTGTAATCACTTATTTTATATTTGAATCCTTTTGTTTTAAGTCTCCATTTCTAGCACTTTAATAGAAGGCTTAATACAAGGATATGATATGCAACTTCAGGTTTCCTATGAAACAGACCCCTTGCATTCCTCCTTTTCATGTCAACCTTAAGTGCCTCACAATTTAGCTACCTTGTTTCTGATGGGAGCTTATTTTAGCAAAACTCACAATAAATGTCATCTCTAGTATGTCAACTTTTAGCTAACATCAACAGTGCTACTGGCTGCATCTTTTTTTCTTTCCCTCTAACAATTATTTGTTTAGAAAGTGACTTAATTCATCTGTGGATTAGTTACACTATTATCAGAAGTTGTTAATGTTCTGAATTTAGTTCAGCTAAAGAATTGGAGTTTATTCTATACTGCTTTTCTGCTTTCTTCAGGTAATACAGGGTATATTAAAAAAGCAGATTTTGCTGAGGGGGAGGAGCAGATCCTCAGGATTAGTTTTAGATTATTAATGCTGAAAAACATGTGCCTTATCTTGTGTTAAAACGCTCATAATGTTCTTTAGAAATAATACAAGACTGCTCTATGCAAATATTTTCATTAAAATGGATATTGAAAAGGATTACATTTTCAATAAAAGGGGTAAGGGAGTCTCAATAGTGATTGGCATTGACATATATTTTGACTGCAATATTCAATGTTAATAGTGGGGAAAGGGTCAGTTTGGTTTCAGTTTTATCCCTGGCATATTGCACTGCAAAGAACAGAGAGGTTATTCTTCTTGTGTATGTTGATCCATTTGGAAAGCTTTGTGTAAACTATGAAATTGGGGAAAGAAAAAAATCGTTAGAGAAATTCTTCTTGCAATAGGTTTTATTTTCAGGAGAAAAACCCAAACTAAACATATCCACTAAACATTCTGGGGTTTTGTTTTGCTTTTAACTGAGGACTGTAAAATTGCAGACACCAATGTTTGGTGCAAAATAATAATCCACGTGAAAAATACAGAAATGTGTATATGTTCAAAATATGTCATACTTTTGTGTGTTGTATAGTTCATATATAATAAAATGTCTTTGTAAAATATTTTAAACAGCTAATTTTAAAGTATTACATCGTTATATGTTAAGAACAATTTTATTACATTTGTTATATATAATGTAAAATGGCAATTTAGCCATTTTTTTACTTTTGCAATGGCAAAAGTAAATTGTCTCCCTCCAGATAGTTGTTAATATTGTTTAATAAAGGACAATCACTTAAAATTGGAATCCTTTCCTAGCTGAAACATGCTTTCTTTGAAGAAGAGCTTGTTTTCTTCCATTCTGTGTGATGTGATACATGATGCCAAACTTCTGTCTCAGTTACAACTTTTCAGATTAATAAATTCAGCAGTTCTTTTAAGTGAAATTAGCATATATGAAAGGGACATTAAGGAAGAAGTTACTATTCAGGAGAAGCCCATAAAGACATTGTGGGTTTTATTATAAGGTCACTTTTTTCCCCCCATGTTTCAAATTTTGTCTTCTGCACAAGACAATAGTAAAAAATTCACTTTCTATAATTTGAATTAATCCTTGATTCTGTCTTTTTTTAATTGAAGGTGATGTTTTAAGCCAACATCTGAAATGTCTTCCATATCTAGCTAGTGTGTCATGTTTGCATTTGAACTGGAAAATTAGAAAAATGCTGTAAAACCAGAAGGTTGAAAGGGATAATATATGTGTTCCATCTTACAAACCATTATACATCCTGTTTTTGAATTTAGTTAAACCAAATACATGTTGTCCTATCACTAAGTGCCAAGGATGCAGTACTACAACAGTGCTGCCCTACTTAATGTAAACAAGTTAGTTGTTTATATGCATATCAGCGTATTTTGTGCATTATCTTATGCGTACAACGTTGACTGTATTAGTGCACTCTTGATCTGCACCAAACTGTACCTACAGTGCACAGGTGTTTCTGAATTGGATCTCTATTAGCCCTTCAGGCCTGTTATAAGTAAGATTATAACCCAGTGTTAGTCAGTATTACTGTCCATTTTTGTACAAGTTTTCTTACCTTGTTTTCCTTTCCAGTTTCCTCTCTCCTTGGCTATGCCTGCACATACCATGCAATACACCTCTTGCGTTAATGTATGGTTCTGTAGCGCTCTTGCTCATCTCCACTGAAGTTTGTAAGACATAATACATGGTAATAAAATATTCACTTGAATGTAGCTGAAATGTATGTTCTTTTACTACAAAAATGTTTGATTTCAGCAGTATACAAAAAATACCTTATCGTATGGTTACTAATATCTTTTGAGAGCTTGTCATCTAAAATAGTTTACAAAACTTGTTCTTTACGTCACTGTGGACTTTGCACTTCTCTGAATATTAGATGCAAATACAATGTATATAATTTAGAGTGGTGAACAAATGTGTATTTGTCCATGGAATTAGTATTTTATACTTGCATGAAAATGAGTTTATAAATAAAGTTTGTAAATAGCAAGCCACAATTAGTAGTTGGAAGGCTCTTATATTCATTGCTTACTCACAGTAAATTCACAGTTGAACAGTACTGAGGCAGGAACAGATTTCTGCATTGATGCTGCTGAAAAGAAGCATGTTCTTTTTTGTGATCTGGAGATGGCCATTGGTACTTACATTACACTGGTATTTACTGTTTATTGCTAGTTCAAAATGACATTAAGTTAAGAAAACAATTTGTTTATTTCTAATAATATTTGCTAATATTACTGTTTCCTGTGTGCTCTTTTGGCTTTGCATGATAATCTTTTAAATTGTTTGTAATGTTAAAGCAAATGTTTCACTGTAATTCCCTATGCAGTGTACCAAATTTACGATAGTTTTTCACTTTAGTGACATGATGGGCAATAATTTAATTGGCTGGAACTACACCATTGTCTTGTAAAGTGTACTAAGACAAATGTCTTATCCGGAATCAATACGAGGCTATGAACTCTGTATGTCAGTACTATTGTTTACTTTTCTTGCACTGCACAAAGAGACATGCTAAGGTACAAGTATAATTCAACAAGACTGCAAATCTATAAGGTAACATCTGGAAATAATCAAGCAATAATATAAGGAACACTGATTATCCTTTTCTTTGTAGTCTGATGCATTTGTTAAAAGTACACCTTCAATCCACATATCAACCTGTTCCCAGCAGCATAGGACCTTACTGTCCTTTTGTTTGAAGGAAGGAGATACTTTCTTCTGGAGAAAGCAACTTTCTTAAAGATTTATGAAGTTTTTTCTTTGCTCTAATCAGCATGAAAGTTAACAACCATGGTATACCAAACCAGCAGTAGGGCACTGCATTGAAAGCTCAGGCAATTTGTTGATAGAAGTCATAATCTTATTCAAGGCTCTGTCAGAGGAGAGCTTTTCCTAATAGCTATTTTGGAGATCTTCCTGGTGAGGAACCATGTTTCCCACTCACACACTTTAACTGAGAGCTGTTTTATTCTCAGGTGGTTTTGTCTATCTGAGAACTGGACTTTTAAGTAGAGATAATTCTAGTAGCTAGAGTAAGAGTCCGATTCTACTTCTAAAATTTTTATTCTGTCATTGATTAATTTAGCAAATTATCTTCCTGCCTTCTTTCATCTCTGCCCAGGCATTCTTCCCTACTAGCTGACACTTGTAGTTCTAACTAAGTAATACAAGACCAAAACATCTTTAGACATCCAAAATGTATGTTGACATCTAAAACTAAAAATGAAATTCTCCCCATTGTATACTTTTAATAACCTCAACATGTAATTTCCAGTGTGGGGCTCTGTTCAGTTTCACCCATTTCGTTCCTGCTCCCTTCAGGAAGCAATGCTTGCTTTGATTGCCTGTCAATGAATCTGAGCCAAGTCTGCAGAGAGACATCCATTCTTTCAGTCTAGTAAGTTCTGGTGCATTGATTTTTCTGGTAAACCCACATTCTATAAATCCTCTTATCTCTTGAAGTTTGTCTTCCTGACAAGTGAAGAAGAACTACAGTAGTAAGGCATCAGTATCTAAGTGGAAAAATTTTGAAGATCCAACCAAATATGTGCAATCAAAGATGTGATGGGTCTTGTGAGATAATGAGTTTTCTTCTTAATAATCTGATTTTTCTGTTTGATGTCCAACACACAATGTTATTAGTATTAAGTAAAGATGTATACACTTAGTTTCCAAAGTAGGCAGTCTTTGAGAAAAGGAGAGCTCCCTCAAACTTAAACTTTTTTTGATTTATGCTGAAGGTAACAGACTCTTATCTTCATTTGAATCTGGCCTGGATGAAAATAAAAGTATAAGCGATGTTGCTTATAGCTTTTATTAATTACTAAATTAACTTAAAAATGTTTAACTTCAACATATATTTTAACACATTTTGAAGGCTGTATGTGATCATAGTCATCTGGATGTCTGAAATCTATAAAAAGTAAGTTTGAGAAGTTTCAGTATTGAAAAAAATATCATAAAAACAGTAGAGGATGCCTGAGGGATGTTTGGACTAATGGCACTCCTTCATGCTGCATAATAGGAATAATAAATGTAAAAGTTTCTCCCATTTTTACAGAATGAAAATTTTTGATCAAACTTTCTCATTTTTGCTGGTTATGGACATTCAGACAATACACAATACTGGGCATCTGTTGGTACCTGGTATGAACAACTTGAAGAACTCAGCTCCTTGTTTGTAAAAGTAAGAGCTAAATTAGAAGAAGCTATGAAATTAATTAACGACACTTGTCATTAAAGTTTTGAGGGGGAGGTTTAGGAGGAGAAAGGATGGTGTCATTCTCAGTGGACTTAAAAGATGTTTGAAGGTGTTTGTATTGTTTTCTACTTTCTAAATTATAATCCATGCTTTTTTAAACAGCAAAATTTAAATCTTCAGCGTCCTCACTTGGCTGCCTTGATTATTCCATAACTGCTCAAATCC